ATATATATATATATATATAGTTTGTTTTTAACGGTTCGGTAATTTTTGAATAATCATTAATTTATATGATAGTTATTACTTTTATTTATTGTATTTTACTTTAATTAGATGGATGAAAGCAAAAGTTTGTGTATTCAAAAAATTCTTCGATCGTTTTATATGATTTTTATTCTTATAACACATGCCATTTTCAAATATCATGGAATGAAAAATAAATTCAAAAATATAAAATCTAAAAAAATTATGATATATAAATTCCCTTATTAAATTTGAAAGTATAATTTTTCCAATATATATTTTTTTAAAAATTAGTAACTTTTTGGAAAATTCACAGTTAGCAGATAATTTTGTAGATTTTTATTTTTTATTTTTATTTATTTAATATTTGGAGTAAATCTGTAATTCATAATCTAAATTATTTAAAACATATTTTTTGAATAAATGAATCAATTAAAAAAAAGGAATTATTTTTTTCTCACAATTAGTCTCAAGTTTTTTCCGTTTTTTATTTCAAAATTTTATTTCTTTGCAGTAATATATTACTGCTAATTTAAAACTGACCGATTAAAAATACATTATTTTGAAATTATTACAAAATCTATGAACAAAAATATTTGCAAATGTTTAATTTATTAAAAAAAACTACCTATAATACAAATTTTAATTTTTTTGCAGAATTTTGTTAATATTTATATTTTTAATTTGAAGTAAATGAAGTTTGAAAAAAAAATTCAAATTTTCTAATTTGTTAAGTAGTATCTTCTTATAGTTAATACAATTATATAAATCTAATAAATTTAATAGATTACTGATTTCAGTTCCACAATTTAGAAAAAGTATTAAATTATTAATATTTATTTAAGAAGCAAAAATTTTCCACATTAATCACATTTTGTATTTGTAATTTTAATTATTTGTAATTTAATTGATTTTAATTTATATTATAATTTTTTTTATAAATGCAAACTTTCAAAAAAGTGACAAATTTAATAATAATTAAATACGTTAGTATAGATTTAAATAAAGACTAGTGTGACAAATTAAAAAACAAACTATTATTAAAAGCAGAATCACTATTATTAATTTTATTATAATTCTTCTATTTTGTACTAATATAAAATTTTTATCTGAATTATTTTATTTAAAATATTATCCATTAAAATAGTGTATAATTTATTGATTGAATTCGTATTTATATTTTATAATATATCGAGTATGATAATATTATTATAATTGATATAGTAATAAAAATTAATGTAATTAATAATATTAAATAATATCAATTATTTAAGATAAATATATAAATGTATAAAAATTAGTTTAGTGATATACACGATCTCAAAGTATGAATTTATTATCACAATAGTTTAAAAATTTAAAAATAGATTAAAAAGTTAGATAATATGAATTTTATAAAATTTATAAACGGCATGAAATATTTTGATTTTAACTTCCATGCAATTTCTATCCAGATTTACTAATTAAAATACAGAATTTTAGTATTAATTATTTTTTTAAAAACCAAAGTTAAACAACAAATTTTAACAACCGAAATTTTTTTATCCCTAAAAATATGAATTAAGATACAAAATTTTGAAAACTATTACATCAGAAAAAGTAAAATATAATTAGAATATAAGAGAAAATAATTAAGTTTCACTCCATGGCGAGAATTGTAGTGTTGCAACCCAATTAATTTAAATTTTGAATAATTATTTCACATTATCAAAATTTAAAAAAAATCTCATAGTCCAAATTAAATCTTCAAAAAAATATTTTTCCGCTCACCGTATATATAATACATGATCTCAATTTATTTAAATTCAGTTTAATCACTTTTGAGATATATTTAAAAATTTGGAACCTTACAAAAAAATGGGCTTTTGGGAAAGTTTTTGGTAAAAAAAATGTAACTGAAATTACAAAGTATAAAAAAATAAGTCAAAAATAAAAATAGGTGAAAGATAAAACGTATTTTTCTAAGATCCGTTTTAAGTTAAGTTCGAATGAAATTGTTTAAGTTTTAAAAATTTTTGAGCTTCTTTAATATATAATTAATAACAAATATTAAAAAAGTATCAAAATCAAGAGTAAATATCTCTTTAGACAATTTCAAAATTTTGAATATTTATTTGACAATATTAAAAATTACATAAAATATCAATATCACCAGAATATAATCGAGAAAAAAATTGAATATCCAAACTGAATACAGCAATCCAAATTTAGTCAAAATAATCATCCACTCACCGTATAAGTAAACATTTTTCTCGTCGTAAAATTTCACCACTTGACACTCGTTCCAAAAAAAATCCTCTTAAGCGAATCCAAAATTTCAAAAAATCCCAAATTCTGAATCGACACTAAATATATTATATTAATCGAACTAAACTCGGCAAAGATCAGATTAGAACTGGTGGTTAAGACGACCAAGGATGCTTTTTATATGACCATCCTCTTGGATGATAGTACTACGTAGACGTCGTGAGCGCCATTGGAAGATTTACCTTTCTATGCTGAGGAAAAGAGATGGTAGAATCTTCCAAGTGCCCATGGACGATTGTAAATTGTAAATTTCATATCGAGGTACAATATAACACATATCGAGGTGCCGTTTGTTCTCTTTCTTCATATAAAAAGTGAGAACGAAATCGAAATTAAATCATATTGGTAAAACAGAAGTGGGATTTTTTGGTGGTGGTATTTAATGTCTATTGTTTGATGGTGCGCGATTTAATTTGAATATGGTTACGTACTGATGTGTTCATGACTATAACTTGGTCTAGGCTAAACTTGATATATTATTAATTTATTTTATCATTTTATCATTTGTTATGGTTTTTCTTTATATAATATTTGGTATTAAATCACGAACGCCATGTATATACTGCACTATTAGGTTTTATTGTTCGATGTTAATGAAGAAAATTTTATTATTAACGTTCGAATTACAATTTGTCTAAACGTAAGTTTATTGATTAGAAATCATTTCTATATTGTTCGTAGTAGTTTGTATAAATCTTTGGAGGTTTTAAAACGGAAAATATTTTTTAGGCAAGACAGCTATTCAAAGAATGAGATTATATCGCCAGCGAAAAAGTAAAAAAAATATCAATGAATGTATGTTAATTTTAATTACACGAAGTTCTTCAAACACAATTATTAGATGATGAGTGAAATTGTGAAAACTATATTTGTTTAGTCATATTTGAGGTATGACTTTAATTACATTATAGTTTTTACACATTACACATATTTCTAATGCTATTATAAATATATAATTTTTAACTTCCCGTAGGGCAAGTTATAGAAATCGCAAAAAAATCAAAAATGAAAATTTTTGCATTTCTCGACGTTTCAAAGGTTTCTGAATATTTTGGCATACCTTAGAAAAAATTGATGTTTGCGTGTGTGTGTGTGCGTGTATGTGTGTGTGTTCGGATTCAAATTTTCGTCGACGATTTCGGGAACACGGATCAACCGATTTGAATCATTCAAAAAACATTCGATTCCTATTGATAAGGAGACGTGCAGATTTCGTTTTTGGCGTTTTTCAAAAAAAGTAATTTTTTGTCCAATTTATAGTTTCTCAAAAATCTTATTTTTTCGAAGTAAAATTTTTTCAAAAATTATAATCGTTTTTAAACAAATAATTTTTGATACGGGAAGTTCCAGCAATTTGCCTTAAGGCACAATGCCTTAATTGCCTTAAGACAGAATTCCACTTACAGCAAGTTATAATTTATCATTATATAAATGTGTATAATGGTTGACACTAATAAATGTGTGCATCTCGAGTGTTAACATATTACGTTATTTACATTATTCAAAATTGTTATATGATGTATTTATTTCTACTTAAATTCCATCTTATACAGTAGCAAATAAGTTTTACTTCAAACGCGTGTAAACCTTACGTGCACTCTTTTTTTTTATTGACGTTCGAATCACAATTTGTCTATTTTTATATAGAGACATTTTGTAATTGAGTTAGTAATTATTTATCACTAACAAGATTTATTGTTATTATAATTTTATCTACTATTAAATATTAACTGCCCGAAGGAGTTTGTTTTCATAAAAAAATTCGATTCGCTTATGTTATGTTTTCTCGACGTTTCAAGCCATTCTGAATCGAATAAGACCAAATTTGGAAAAAGTATGTGTGTGTGTGTGAACAGATTTTTTGCCGTAAATGAAAGGCATTGAAAAAGGTCTGAACAGATTTCAGAAATTTATCTCGATGAGGACTATCGTTTATCAATTTTGCGCGACGATCTGCCGAGCCGTTTCTTTGTTAATCGCAGAAAAGTGAAACATTTTTCGTTCACGTTTGAGCCCGCAATTCTGAATCGATTTTAAAAATTCAAAAACTGTTGAGAGATATTAGTTGGGAATTATACTGATTAGTTTTAGATGAAAATCTACCAAGCCGTTTTCTTGAAATTAAACCCGTTTTTTTGGCGATATATATCATGGTCTTATAAAACTTACTGAAATATTACGGCCTTACGACAAGTAGTTGAATTTTAAAAATTCATAAAAGTTTGAGAAATTGAGTAGAATTTTTGACGTTTGTTAAAATCAAAATTAGACGATTTACTTGGTATAACAATAGGGTACTTGGTCTTGATTAGACTGTGTCAAAAGTATGTTTTGTCATTTTCTAATATTTGGATCCTATTTCAAAAGAAAACTGTTACAACAAACCTCTTGCAACATAAACCTTCTAATGAATAAAGTATTAACTAATTAATGAAATGTATGTTTAATAAATATATAATTAAATGAAAAAATTGATAAAAAACAATTTTATACAACTTTATATTTTGAGAATTCACATTTGAAAATATAAAAAAATTGATTAATTCAATGAAAGCCATTTGGTTTGAAAAATCACTTCTTGCGGTGTTCGGCCGTGTCCTTCTTTACATTTCAGAATCCGCTTTTAAAAACAAATGATTCACCTCATTCGAATAAAATGACAAAAATATTGAAAACTACAATGATACAATTATTGTTACTAGGAATGGATATTCTGGTGGTATCAATCTATGTGTCCTTAGTACTACAGATTCGAACAAGTAGTACAGTTCATAAGATACTGAATACGTAGTAGCTCTTAAAATTTTGGGCGGCGAAATATATAAGTACATAAATACGCCAGTTCTCAAAAAATATAATCCAAATATTTCTAAAGCACATGTCAGAAAATACCAAAATGCATTGATGGTATTAGGCTCTACATCAATAACGGCAAGAGCTTTTCTACCTTCAGTGACCATGATCGTATATTCCCCACCAATTTTCAAATCCAGGGTCAAAATTCGCTCATCATTCTTCCACAACTTGACCAATTGTGCATCCATAGATATGACTCTTTGTTTGGTATTTGGAATTTGAGTTCCAGCAATAATACCAAAAGTAGGAGGTACAGCATGTTTTAGTCCGAGCCAATCTTGAACAGAAATGCGATCAGTAATATCAGCCCCAATAATATTCAAAATGGGAGAATTAGATTCTGAATATATATGTATCTTAGAGAATGCATCGAATATAATAATATCACCGCGCATCTTGAACACAATGACCATAAGTTCTTGCTCAATCAATGATGATCTAAAGGTACTCTCTTTGAAGCATTGGCCTTTGATAGTTACTTCAATTGTTTGCATATAACCATCTATCCCAATACCGGGAAGAGTTAAACTACTTCTGGTATTTACAAACACCGGTTCAATATATATATATGTAATCAATAAACCGTGAAAATTTCAATAGAGACGGACAGTCCATGTTGTTAAATATTTTGATATTCGCTTGTCCAGACTTGAACTTGAGAAGAGCATCAGAACGATTCATAATTGCGATGAAAAATGTAATGCCGGTAGAAATGATTATAATATACACACCAGTCTGAAATGGATCAATTGTTAAAAAATAAAATAACTTTCTAGATAGGTACAGCAATAGGTACTATAATTTACATAATTTAAATTATATTAATCTCACCATGATGCGTTCGTAAGGATACCAAAACCTTGTTTTCTTAAGAGGTCGCTCCACCAGCCAAATCATTGGAGCATGGATGAACAAAGTCAATAGTGGTTTCAAGGCAATATCATAAAAAATATTAGAATTATGGCCATAAAGTGAACTTGAAAACTTCATTTTTTTTAAGAGATCATTTCTTTTATTATCATCGGTTGAACATATCCTTTCCAAGATTAGAACTAGAGTCCATGTTAATGTAGCTAAAAGAAATCTTTTCAAGTATTCAACTAATAGTCTATCATATCGTTCATCTGCATAATCCAACCAACTCGGTTTCGGTTCTGATCGCCTTTTCTTGATCCAATTGACAAAAGCATTGTATATACATGGAACTGATTGTTTAATATATGATACATTTGGATGATACTCGATGAAGTGTTTGATGCCCAAATAGATTGCGAAAGCTTGTGCAACATTCGTTATTGTAAAAAGCGAAATTGCAAGTATTTTACAAGTATTATTTCCCTCGCAGGACATTCGCATATAAATTAAGTCGACCATTACGTAACCAAACGCAATTGCAATTGGACGTAAGATCAATATCCATTGTACAAATTGCAATACATCTTCTTCGCCATTTGGATCACTACATAATATTAAAATTAAGTATTATATTTAGGAAAAAATAGTTCCAAATCAATTTGAATAAAATGTCTTGCTGTATCACATCTTTCATAGAGTTAGCATAAATTGTCGATAAAAATTAATTTAACAAAAAATTGTTTTATAAGAAGTACCTGAGTTGATCCATCGCAAGTGCCCACACAAATGCCACATCAACATACATCAAAGGCTCTATAATATCTGCTGCAGTTTTAATAACAATTGCTACTTTTACATCTGTTATTATTGCAGAAAAAGCTATTAGTAAATCGACTGGAGTACTGATTAGAAGTCTATAGAATATGACGTGAAGATATCTCTTAGGAAAGAAGTCCGAGATGATACCGCCTGAAAAATACTCATCATAAATAAATCGCAAGTTTCTGTTTCAAATCAGTAATGACACAGGTCCAAAAAATAAAAAGAGTTGTCTGCATTGGATGTAAGGCATATATTTTCCAATGTCGGACGTTTCATGGCTTTTTTCAACTTAAATGACTCGGTTAAACGGTAATCTTTTGACGATTGCTATTAATTATCCTATGCCTTTGCATATTTGAGATTGTAATTTCTATGCAAGATAGATAATATTCTAAACTCTCCCCCCACAAAGTAATGCCTAACGGCAGTTTCCGTGGGGACCAGAGATAATGGCAGAGCGGAGGTTTTAATCGGTATTATACCCAGGCGGTATTGAGTCCGACACACCCAGACAAAAGACCTATTCTGGAATGCGTAAAGGCATTTCCTTCGCTGTACAAAAAAAAACAAACCCTATAGGGAGTTAACAAAATATCTAAAATTGGAAAAAGCTGGGCATGCCATTACGAAAAACTACTATGAATCAAATCTTTTTTGAATAATTGAAATCGCTTGATCTGTGCTCTCGAAATCGTGGACGAAAAATCGTATGCATACATACGTTGTGTTTTTTTAAGATATTCTAAAATGTTTCAATTACTAAAGTAATTCTTACCACAAGCCATAGGTAGAAAAAACACATATGTCACGTATTGTACTATATAAAGGTGTTTCCCTTCAAGTTCTAGTTTAGGATGAGAGAGCAAATTGCGTAACATTCCGAATCCCATCGCCGATAAGAAATATCTTGCTAGAATATATTTTGTTCTGGAAGGATTCAAGTATTGTCGATAACTTGCCCTAGTCACCATAATTAATTAATTAAAATTTCCGAGTTGATTACTAAAAATATTTAAACCGAACTTCTCACAAAATATCAAAACTGACGGATTTTGTTTTTGGTTGATAGCTAGATATAAAATATACTATATCTTGACAATAATCTAATATCATTTTAATCATTTTTCATTGCGGCTTGCTTGAAAATCTGTAGATATATAAACTGAAAGTGGCATTTCGTCGTAAGGCAAGTTGCAAAAACTTCCCAATACATGTAATTTTTGACTTAATCAACCGGAATAAAAATTTACCTAATTAGTTAAAATTTGAATTGTATATTCAAAAATATTTTTTTCACTTTCCTTAAAAAATAATAAATGCAATTTCGGATTATGTTATTAACAATATCTGCAATTATATTATTGTAACACGTGTCTTTAAGTCCCAAAAGAGCAGCCCATAAATTCCAAATTCAATTAAATTCAGCCAATTTTCGTAGGTCTGCTTTAGGGTGTTCGATTAAGGCATTTACTCCATGGTCTTATAGAACTTACTGAAATATTACGGCCTTACGACAAGTGATTTTATTTTAAAAATTCATCAACGTTTGAGAATATGAGTTGTTTTTTTGACATTTGTGAAAATTAATATAAGACGATTCACTTAAAAAATCCTACTTTACTAAATCATTAGAGTCCTGCGGAAACTGGTTCAATTATAAAAATTATTGATTTGTGAAAATTTGCTTTTAGAAAATAATCAGAGTTAACGTATTCGTTCGTTTGCAATTATGTGTAATAAATCCACTCGGAATACTTTTAATCACTTATAAATTAATTTATTTTTTATTGATTAAGTCGATTATTTACACATATCGGTAAGTTTATATAACTTGCCTCAAGACAAAATATCAACACCAACTAGTTAGACTATAATATCTATCGTCAAATCAATTTATGAAACATTTCTATTTTATCCAAAAATTGGTCCCTTACTTTACAAGTAAAAATACTCCTTTCGTGTATTGCTGAACAAAATATCTAAATCTAAAATACTAATTAGGTATGTTACAAATATACCATGACTAATAAGAACAACTACTGGGTTGTCTAATGGTAAAACCTGGTCAAATAAAAATAACTAATCAAATACTTAAAGCTTTAATATGTTCTGCCTACTATTAGGCAGATTGTAATTTGCATAATAATTAGTAGTAGTAATTAATAAAAAAAAATTAAAAAAAAATATTTTGCTGTTGAATTAATTTTTTTTTATCCTATAAAGAACTGTAAATGCATTATTCAGAGGCTTTTGAGACAGTTCAATGCAATATATTAGATGCAAAAAAGTTTGATCATAGACAATAAATTAATTGTTCATAAAGTACGACAAAAAATGTAAGGTCTAATATTAGTGACATAGTTTTTTTTACAGTAATGATAGTACAAAAAGGATATAAAAAAATCAATATGGAAATTTACTAATTAGTAGTCAAAAATGTAAATATTCATTTATAAATATTACATTAATGCCATATTAAGAGTCTATGTTCGTATGAGTTGGAAGTAACACATTGTCAGAAGGCTATGTATTTTTACACATAAAACCTAAAAAAATTGGACTTGCAACCCAAGATTCCAAATTTCATACCAACTTTTGACAGTTTGATGTCAATCTTTACTAGAAAAGCTAATTTAAGAGACGGTTTTTAGTGAAAATAGCCTTTTTTACGGATTACTGCACCAAATTAACAGTATGTCATTAGCATTAGAATAAATCTACTAATATACGAAATACAGAGCAGTGATAGTCAAACTATGGGTTGCCTTCTAGAGAGACACTTAGATAAAAAATTATCATTACAGCAACTCGTAGAATATTTATGCTATATTTTGCTATGCAAAAAAACACTAACAAATAGTAAATCTATAAAAATGAGTGCGCGTAAGGATCACACGCGATTGAAGTAAAACTTTTTTACTACCGTACAAAGTATCAAATTTAAGCTATGTAAAAATAAATACATCATATAACAATTTTGATCAGTAATATGGTGACACTCGTAATGCACACATTTATTAGTGACAACCATTATACACATTTATATGATGATAAATTATAAATTATATATTTATAATAGCATTAAAATATGTATAATATTTAAAAACAATAATGTAACTAAAGTCATACTTCAAATATGACATGATCGGTTTGTCATTGTAATTAGCATTTAGAAATGAACCTTCATTAGAGAAATGAAGTAATTGCTGATTAATAAATTCTATAATAATCGTTCACACAGTGGATTATGTTAAACAACACCTGAAAAATATTGTTTTTGCAACTTGTAACTTTTGCATCATGTAATAATTGTATTTGAAGAACTTCATGAATTAAAATTAACATACATTATTTGACTGCTTGTATTTTTTTTTACTTTTTCGCTGGCGATATAATCTCATTCTTTGAACAGCTGTAATATCTGTCATGTCTAAAAAAATTTTTTTTTTCAATAACATCAAAATATTCTGGTTCAAGCATTTTTTATTAAATCATACATGACGTCTAATCATAATCGACCCGTATAGAAATGGCATCATCGAGAGCGAATGACGAATCATTGGCACTCGACTCTTATCTTATCGAGTCTTATCTGCCGTAACGCACTTTCGTTGCATTTGTACGGATTTACACCCTGGTCGCGCCTAATGAAGTTTTACTTCAATAAATAAATAGCAACACGCTAAATTGTAGAAAAATGTAAAGAACCCAAATATTTTATCGTAAATTAAGCTAATACATCAAGACAAGCTCATCCAAAAAGAGCAAATATCTCATAAGTTGTAGTTGTAAAATTGGCTACGTCTTTCATATTTTACTTACTAAACTACCAATTCTGATAAAATATCATTGCAAAATTCATCGTAACTCAAATAATTTAGCTAAATTTATTGGTCAGAAATCACTTCAACCTCAACCATACCCACTTATTTATTAAAAGGGAGAGTTAATTTTTAATTTACCTAATCACTTCTCAATACTTTATCATTAATCAATCATATACTATTACTGCAAAACGACAATCGTGTGAGCCAATTTTACGCCTAAAGATTAACCCAAATATTAATTGCTCATGTAACTGACTACCGAGATGTAATAACATTTTGCGGTGTTTTTGCGGTAGTAATTGAGCAATCTTAATGGATACTGATTTTCTCATAGAAAAATATAGTTTTAATCTAGTAACCAAGTTTTTGCTAGATTGGAACTCAAGTTATCTATTGATTATTCTGAAACAGTCTGATGTATCACGTTTTTCACAAACAGCAATAATCTTACAAGCTGTAGTAATGATATTTCTAATAATTAGCAAAGTTGCGTTTGCTTAGAAGGCAACCCAACGGTTGACCTATGAGTACCTAATCAGCATCAATTCGTTTCGTTAATGGAAAACTTCAATTACGAAATTCTAGATACGCATTCTCGCAGATTTTTTTTTTAATCCAATAACCAAGTTTTTACCAGATTTGAACCCAAGTTATCTACTGATCATTCTGAAATAGTCTGACATGTCAAATTTTATCTATTTTCGAACAGAAACAATCTTACAAACTTTAGTAGCTTTTGGATTCAACGAAGTAGCTTCTATTGTGGAGGCAACCCAATGGTTGGCCTATGAGTATTTGATGTATTCATACTAGAAGAATTTCTCTGGCAGTATCTGGAAAGGGACTATTTTTATTTGGCAACATTGTTTTCTTAATACTTTCAACTCAAAACTTTTTTGACTTTGATTTTTTGCTGTATATCTTCTGAATTAATATTAACCGTTCAAGAACCAAACTGTAACATTTTTACAGAACTTACACTTTTTTTTGTACTCCAATTTCAGAGGGTAATTATTTTTGGCATTTTTCACATACATTGCAAAAAATGTATGTCACTGAAATGGGAATTAATAATGCTTTGTCTAAAGACAATTTCATAGTAAAGAAATCATCATATTTTTCTAGCGCAATAAGACATTAAAGTTTTCATTAACAAAAATAAATTATAACAAAAAAAAAAAAAATTAATGCCAAGTGTTATGGATTTTGCATTCTAAATTTCTGATTGTTGCATTTAACCAGTTTAAAATCTATATTAAGAAATATTTTAAAAACAATTCGATTTCCATATTTTGAAGTGAAGAAATGCAAAAAAAATATTCGATTCTTCGACAATTAAAAAATAATCCGTTGTTAAAGTTATATAAGTTAGCATATGCATTTTTGAAAAATCACCTACATTTATTTAAAAATGTACTCTGTAAAAACTTACAAACTCGTACCTTGTCAGAAATATGAAAAACAAGATAAAATTGAATTTATTCAAAATAAAATGAAAAATTCTACAGCTTTACGATAGAAAATCAAGTCGAATTAAAATTGTCATTTATACGTGTCCATCAATTTTAATTCAACCAGAACTTAACAACCGAAAGTTTGAGAATAATTTCTTTTTCGATTTGAAATTTATCACATTTCTCGCTTTGAAGCTTGATACTTGAGTAATTTGTGCTTCTTTAAGTACTTATTTAATTAACTTCTCGTGGGGTAAGTTATAGTAATCGCAAAAAAATTGAGAATGCGTGTGTGTGTGTGCGGATACAAATTTTCGTCGACGATTTAGGGAACACCGATTAACCGTTTAACCGATTTGAATAATTCAAAAAAACATTCGATTCGTATTGATAAGAACACGTGCTGATTCGTTATTGGCGAAGGCAGGTTTAGCTGTTTTGAAGATACGGAGCAAAAAGTGCAAAAAAGCAAGTTCTGAGAGAACAAATCGGCCGATTTCAATGATTCAAAAAACATTCGATTCGTGTTGATGTGGAGACGTACCGATTAGTTTTTGGTACAGGCAGGTCCAGCCGTTTCGAAGATACAGAGAAAAAGTGCATAAATTCCGATAAGATCCTAGACATCCGCTCATAACGTTTTTCGTGAGCACTTCGTTATAGCTGAGTTGGTTGGCGCGTCACTGCAAT